CTTTGATTTAAACTATTGGAGATACGACAATAAACATTCAAGTCATTTTTGTAGGCATTGAAATTATCTCTCAGATAAGTCATTTGTCAATTCCATACCTATTGTCAATTTGTTGTTTTTTATATTTGTTTATAAAAATTGATTTTTTTAAAGTTTGACAAAAAAATTTGACAAAAAATCTGACAAAAAAATGACAAAAAAATTGAAAGAAAAAATTGACAAAAAAAATTAACAAAAAAAATTGACTAAAAAATTTGGCAAAAAAATTTGCTAAAGAAATTGACAAAAAAAATTGAAAAAAAAATTTAAAAAAAAAATTGAAAAAAAAATTATACAAAAAAATATGAAAAAATTATTTGACAAAAATTGACAAAAAAATTTGGACCAAAAAAAATTGACAAAAAAAATTGTCAAAAAAAATTGACAAAAAAATTAACAAAAAAAAATTGACAAAAAAATTGACAAAAAAAAATTGAAAAAAAAATTGGCAAAAAAATTTGACAAAGAAATTGACAAAAAAAAATTTGAAATAAAATTGGCAAAAAAAATTGGCAAAAAAAATTGGCAAAAAAAATATGAAAAAATCATTTGTCAAAATTTTTTTTTGTCAATTTTTTTGTCAATTTTTTTGACAAATTTTTTTGACAAATTTTTTTGACACATTTTTTTGTCAATTTTTTTTGCCAATTTTTTTTGTCATTTTTTTTTGTCATTTTTTCTGTCATTTTTTTGTCAATTTTTTTGTCAATTTTTTTTGGTCAAATTTTTTAGTCAATTTTTTTTGTTAATTTTTTTTGACAAATTTTTTTGGCAAATTTTTTTGTCAATTTTTTTTTGGTCCAATTTTTTTGTCAATTTTTGTCAAATAATTTTTTCATATTTTTTTGTATAATTTTTTTTTTTCAAATTTTTTGTCAATTTTTTTTTGACAAATTTTATGTCAATTTTTTTCCAATTTTTTTTTCAATTTTTTTTGTCAATTTCTTTGGCAAATTTTTTTGCCAAATTTGTTAGTCAATTTTTTTTGTTAAATTTTTTTGTCAATTTTTTCTTTCAATTTTTTTGTCATTTTTTGTCAATTTTTTTGTCAATTTTTTTTTGTCAATTTCTTTGTCAAATTTTTTTGCCAATTTTTTTTTTCAATTTTTTTTGTCAATTATTTTTTTTTGTCAATTTTTTTTGTCAATGTCTTTGTCAAATTTTTTTGGCCAATTTTTTTTAGTCAATTTTTTTTGGTAATTTTTTTTGTTAATTTTTTTTGTCAATTTTTTCTTTCAATTTTTTTGTCAAATTTTTTGTCAATTGTCAATTTGAAATTCTAAAAAATTTGTTAATTAACAATAACCTACTTTGTTGGAAAATTAATTTTTATGAAAAATTCCAACGGGAATGAATTCTTCAAAGTGTAATTTTTTAAAATTTTTGAATTTAATTTTATTAACTTTAAAAAATTATTTTATGTAACGTACTCGGTTTCGACGCCGTGCGCGCAACCTAAAAATGGCGCGCGGAAGGCTACTTTGAGCGTTAAATTAAAATTATAAATAATGGAGGTACAGTTCCGGGAGTCGGAACTTATTTATAGCAAATTTCCTCCCTTTTAAGGGTCTTTTTTGAAAAATCCAAAAATATTTATATTTTACAAACTATAGGCGAAAAACCAAACAACATATTTTTGAGGTGTTTAATTGTTTATAACTTTTGCAATTTTTTTATGCACTGTAAAATTTTTCTTCACACATTCATCTAGACATTATTCCGAATCGAATGAGGTATTGAACATAATTTTCGTAATAGTATGTCCCAAAAACACGCTTTTGAACTTTTTGATTAGACTAATTATTTTTTTAATTAACGTGGTTTTCTAAAAATATTTGGAATTACTCGTGCTTGCACCATTAAAGGTTCAAATACGTTTCTTTCCTGATGAAAAAAGTTTTTTCATTTTATCGGAAAATTTAAGGTTATGTTGAAAAACGTCAAATACTAAAGTTTTAGATTTTTTCATTATCTAAAACTTTTGTATTAAATACTTTTGACTACAAGCTGACGTTTCGTCGTTTTCAACCCTAAACTGCACCTCCATTCTACCCCTTCCCAATATCTCGTATTTTTAAATTTTTGGTTCTTTTAGTTATAACCCTAACTACCATGGGCGTCGTTACACAATTATATAAGGAGGGGCAAAATTTTGAAAAAAAATTTAGAATGTTTATTTGTTAGAAAACAAAGAAAATGAAAAATAAAAGAAAATTTTCTTATGATGGATTTAATTATTCTGTAACGTCATGGTTTACTTTCAGTTTTTCCAGAAATAACAGAAAATCGCAATAACCTAACAAAAAAAGACAAAAACTTAAATAAAGAAAAAACAAGAAACCTAAAACACATTTTTAAAAAACAAACAGAAGGTGTGATATAAAAGAAAAATATGAACCAGTTTCTCGTTTGAAATCATGGTATTTTCTATCAATTATTGTATAACAAAAATTGTTCAGAAATGTAGCTAACTTAATGCGAGGAAGAATATGTTTGCAAATATATTTTTTCGTTTCGCATTTATTGCATGTTAAACACTGAGTTGTTTACTCAAAAACTATTTAAATACTGTTTTTTATTATTGTGAGTCAATTAACAATCATTTTTATACTAATTTTATACAAACAAAAAATATGCAGTCTTCAACAATACCGGCATTTCACCAGAACTGGTAAAACACAAAATTAGTTACTTTTAGACAATTGGTAACATCAAATTGATTCCATGAAAGGGTAATGTTGAAGACTATGTATAAGTATATTGTTATTTTACTTTAATATTGTGTGTTTCAGAAATATTTTCAATTATTAATCTATCCGTTGGTGTAATAGGCACATTCCCGAAAAAAAAAAGTTGGCAAACAAGTTTTAGTTGAAATGGATCAATTTTCTGGGGAATGTGCCTATTACACCAGCGGACCGAATTAATAAATAAAATATTTCTGAAATATTTCTTATTTGATTTATAATTTTAAACAGTTAAATCAACAACAAATGTCACTGTACATAAATATGTAATAAATGGGAGATATATGCAGATATATAATTCAACGTAGAACAAGCGATAATCAAAATGTATAGACAAAGTGTCTACATTGTTTATTAAATATTACTCGTTAATTTTGATCAAAGCAAACGTTTATGTGTCATAATTCTTTTGTTTCATTTGTATGATGCACTTTACAAATTAATTATTAAATTATACCGGTTGTTTGATTAAGGGTGCATACCGGTTGTATCTCAGAAACTAGGTGTCGTCGATGGCCATCGAAATTTCTACGAATTATTTTCAGATTGCTAACTTTGTCACTATAGGGTGTCATTCAACGACGTCCAACCACTAGATCAATTATTTCATTCATGAGTATTTCTCATGTATTTAATTTCTTGCAAGCATTCATTTTGTGTTTTATGTTCATAAACATTGAGAACTCTTGCCTCTACTGTCCCATTAGAAAGAGCGAGCCGCATTACTAAATTAGGTTGTGGATGGCGTTTAACAGCACACGTGTTAGGCATGATATAAAAAATTACAGAAGTACAACAACAACAACAACCACAACGACAACAACAACCATAACGACGACAACGACAACGACAACAACAACAACAACAACAACAACAACAACAACAACAACAACAACAACAACAACAACAACAACAACAACAACAACAACAACAACAACAACAACAACAACAACAACAACAACAACAACAACAACAACAACAACAACAACAACAACAACAACAACAACAACAACAACAACAACAACGATCCGTTAATGCCCTTTTGTCTTTGATGGCAATTCTTTGGTTGGAAATGACAGCTAGATGACAGTTCACGCTGAATGCCGTTTGTCCCGTTTGAATTCGACCAGTAATATCCGAGAAACACGCTTAGGCCTTTCTGGCTATTGTTCTGCGTATGATTTTTCTGTTCGACGTTTTCGAGTTATCTAAATAATGCCGTTTTTCCCGTTTGAATCGGAACAACAATAAAGATATTAGTTTTAGGCCCTTTTGACCTGTCACTGCGCATGATCTTAACATTCCATATATAGTCACACGTATTATATATCATTTCTTGCGTCAGCGAGTCCCATTGGGGATTTCTCGATGTAGAAATCCGCATTGATTTTTTGACATTTGTCATTAGGTTAGCCAACTTCGTAACTATCCTGCGTAGGTTAGGTTGGCAACACTATTGACAGATGCCATAGGTTAGAATAATTTTTGACATCTGTCACGATAGCCGTCATCTTGCTTAGCTAATGACTTAGCCAAGTCGCACATCTTTATCCTGTTGACAGGTTTTTTGATAGGTAGCGTCATCTTTTGGAATCTTGTTACTTTTACTTTTACGTAAACATCGTTTCTACTCCCACCAATTGACCGACTGACAGGTGCCGTCATCTCATGGCGACTACTGACAGTTGGAAACACTGTTGCCAGTTGTCAGCACTGGTTTGACATGACAATTGACATATTGACCGCTGACAATTGGCAACACTGGATTGACAGATTGAGAACACTGGATTGACAGATGGCAACACTGGATTGACAGATTGACATATGACAGCGCGGGGTGGCTAAAATTTAAAGTGACGTTTTTGCCGGTTGTTACACTGGTAAAAATTAACAAGATTCGTATAAATACACTGAGAAAAGGAATTAAAAACAAACTTATTTAGCAACATCCACTATTTCTTCTCTGAAATGAAGGTTAGTGATATAATTAGAAAAATAAGGCTTCACAATAATTTATTTTGAAGTAAATTGTATTGATCGCTAAACTGAAAGAGATTTTTACTTGAGGAACCAGACCGAATACTCGTTGTACTTAATTCATATCAGTTTTTTTAGATAACATTAACTCTTTAAGGACCGATTCCACCGTTGAGTTAAACGAAGTTTAAAATGACATTTTTACATTAACAATGTCATTTTAATCTCCGTTTAACACAACGGTGGAATCGGCCCTAAGTCCTTTTAACCTGTCAGATTAAAACAAGAAAACCGACAATTCCGAAGCAGAAGCGGATGATTAAAACGCACCTATTAAAAATATTGCGCCAAGATGTAGGCAACACGTAATAAGGGTTCAAAATGGCGGAGTTTTCTATCTCCTTTTAAAAGGCACTCAGAAAGCTGCGCAGTGCGACCATTCTCCGTATAGTAAAAGAAAATCAAAGTATGTGTGTTTGATAGTCGGCGGTTCTTCTTCTTTTCAATTTTTGAAGGCCTCAGCTGCCAGGGCTATTCTGCCTGAATATCGGCGGTTGTCATATATTGTATTGGTTATTATTTGATTCTGTATGCGCCAGGGATACAAATCCGAGTTGCGCAGTGTATAAATTAGAACATTGAGATCAAAAGTGCCGACGCAGAGTGAGCGAACTGATTCTTTAGCTATAAACTGTGTTTATACCATTGACGTTTTGTTATTATTGAATGCCAAGTCACTGAAGCTTAATTAATTCAAACAGTGATTAATCATATTGTGTTTTAGTAGTTTTTAAAGCGGGTATTTTATAACTAGTATACCAGACACATTAATTTCTTTAAAAATGAGCAATAATGATGAAGATAGTGAAGCTATTGAAGAAAATAATCCAACTCAAAAACCGTCTACTGGAGTTGTATCTAAAAGTACAGTACTCAGAGAGCGTCATAAAATGCAGACTACGAAAAAACTTGTCGAAACCATGAGAAATGCTTTACCTGTTTACACTTTAGAGCAAATTCGTGAATTCAGATTACCATACCATGAAGCACTAACTATTAATCTGCAAGAAAAAGGTTTCGTCAGTACAGCTTCATATATTAACGAGCTCATAATATTTCAAGATGAAATGAGGAAGGACGCCCCACCAGGAAGCAGCATAGCCATGAGACCTCAGCTTAAATATTCTAGAGAAGAAATCGTACATCTCGCTGACAGACTTAAAATGGCCGAAATTTATCACAACGAGAATAATATAGAAAATGAATGCGAAGAATTTCTAAAATTAGGAATTCATTTTGCATTCATTAGTTCAGATTGGTGGTGGCTAGGGGAACAAATACTAATACAAGGTATTAAAGTTTCATCGGAATATACCGCGTTAGAAGGTAAATACGAAGCCTTGACCAGATACGCGTATGCTAGGTTTCTATTAGAAAACGTAAAAGAATTCGAAAAAGCCGCAGCTCAATTACAGATTACAAGTGTACTGTGCGATCGAAAAGGTTGGACCAGTGTAAGCTATTTCCCTGAAGTTAGAGGCACTCTCTACATGCAAACCAATCGAGAGCTCGCTGATTGCATGATTCGAGACGTACAAAGTACGATGCGAACCGATCCTAAAAAAGCAATTAGAATGTCTGTGAAAGCAAGACATATAGCAGGCCAAGGCTGCCACTTTAACGGTGAATGCAAAGCACTGGTGTTAAAAGGTTTGTCTGAAATGGCTATTTTAGATACGAAAACTGCTGTAAATTCTTTATTGAATGCATTCATCATTCAACAAAAATTTGGATCAGTTGAAGGATTATGCGAAGTCAGAATACACTTGGCGAAAGCATATTTATTAGACAATTGTGCAAACGCATCGTTAAAAGTGTTAATGGATCTTAAAAGTGACGCTGAAGAATTCGATTTGCCTTTTTTCTTGGGACAAGCTTACAAACATCTAGGAGACTATTATTTATCGTGTGCATCTCCCAGCATGGCTAACCCAGTTCTGAAAGAAGCATTACGAATTTTCAAAGAATGTAACGTCGATTCGGAGGAAATCGCAAACGTTCGTAACTTAGAAGCAATATCCGCCGGACTACAATTATTTCCAACGTACATAGAAATACTCAACGATTCCGGCACCGAAGACCGTTATTCATTCAACAATCTCATGAAAATAGTCGATTGGAAAGACCAAAGAACTGAATTCTGGGAAAATACACATGATTTACGTAAAGCGGAATCTCTTACGGACGTTGTTAAAAAGAGTTTGATGAAAGTTCATGAAAGCAGAGCCGAATTTCTAGATGAAAAGTTTGAATCGTTGTTTGCGTTGATGATGTTGAAAAGAAGCGAACTAGAAGTTGAAAAAGAGAAAGATAAAGATTATTTGGATCTGGAACAGCAGGATGCACTAGAATTGGACGACGAACAGAGCGAAAAAATACGGACGCATAAAGTTAAATTGAAAGAAGACGAATTTAAATCAAAACGTGAAAAAATGGTTGAATTATTTGCGCATCCGGATAATATGCAATCGCATGCAACGATATTGGATGATGAAGATTGATGATGTTAAATTCCCTATAGTGACGATCAAATATTATAAAAAATCTATTGTTTTACATAATTAAAAATATTTTTAATTGCTACTTTAATTATTCCAGAAATATATGAATGATATGTACACGAAAATAAAAACAAATTACATAAACACTCTGCTCTTGAGAACTCCTGAGCCGACTATGTTTTTCGATCTATAGCTTCGAGATTGTTTCAGCAGGATTGGTTTTTTCTTGGTAACATTGTTCAACTGGCTGTAATCCACATAGAACCTCATAGTTTCATTCTTTTTCTGGGTAGGACTACCGGAAATACCCATGGACTGGTAATAGGTTCTATCCTTCATTTTGGCTTCCTCTCTATTGGCTTTTGGTAATCTTCGAGCTGATTGACGAATCGGTCTGGCTTCATCTGTGTCAATTTTGTATTTTACAACAGTTCTTCCTGTTTTTCCTCCTTTTGGTATAAGAATGTCGCGATATCGTCGAAGAAATTGCTTTATTTTCTTTTTCTCTAATTAACCAGCAACTTCAATCATTAGCTCGAATGTGTCGTTGGAATTATCAAAAGTTGTTGTCTGACGAATTATGGAAGTGACTGGTACACAAGTTCCGATTTTGGTCTCCTTCTTGATGGTAATTGGGTGATCTTTAACGTTTATAACAAACTGGAATCTCTTGAGCAGTCGTGACCAACCCTTTTCAATTAGAATTCGTCGTCCAATTTCTTCATCGTGGTTCCAAGGTATTCCTTCTTCCATAATTTGTTAAAGCCATGCTGCTATAATGATTTCATTCCTGCTAGGTACCACCGTATCTTCCTGTACAGCAACTGGCTCGGTACTGTCCCCATATGGATGTAGGAATACCAACTTAAAGCCTAACTGGAAACCATGTAAGTTCATTACATCCATTCCAAGAATAACATCTTCTTCGATATCAGCGATAATAACAGTATAAGTGAACTTTTTTGTACCAATTCCCAATTGAACCTGGAATTTCCATATGGCAGTCCGCAGTTGCACTCTTTTACGGTTATTTATGGTTGCTGGTCGTATAATGGTCCCAGTTGCTCCAATATCCACCAACAGTGTATGCTTTTTACCATTTTCTTCGCCATCAGGTAATGTAATGCTTACCTTAATTACAGAGATAAAAAACAACAGAAGTTAAACATTAATAATTTATTAATTAAAACAGAAATACATAAGTACATCTTTAAAATAACTTTATAGATTTTGATAATAATTTGATATTCGTTCATTATTTTTTGAGTTTTAAGAAATGAATCATGAATAAAATGCGAGACATACCGGTGATAATCCCTATACAAGAAAATGAAAACTTGCGTGAAATGACATTCCGGTGACAATCTCCGGCGAGTCGCTGGCGATACGCCGAAATGAATCGCTGGCGATCGACTATGCATACGGCTGTAAAAGTTTCATGCAAATATGCAAACAAAACAGTTAAATTGTGCCCTAGAACATGCCTTTATGCATAAACAAACATTTTTTTGCAAATTACATGGTATTACGCTTGTTCAACCCTTGGCTGGTAAAGTCGTTGCAGAAATGAAAATACTGATGACCAATCCTGGTGTGACAGTAAAGAGAGCTATGGCTGAAGTGACAGAAAATCTCTCAGATGGAACCAAGGTATGCTTGCTAAAGAAATCAACTCTAACACGAACTCTACAAGGAAGTAGTAAAGCTGCAACCTCTACGCCTGTTCCCAGGACATAAAATTTGAAATTTCGGAAGAATGTACTCTATATATTCTTTTTGATTCTGGAAGATAATAGATATATACGGCAAACACGAGTTGTTAAGATTTTTAAAACGAAAAACCTGCTGGAGAGCTGATAGGACTTTAAAAGAAGTTACAGAGTTGTTCTTTCAACTGCATAGCATCCGCGGGCAAGAAGATAGTACTTCGTGTACTTGCATTCTAGCATTATTAACTGGAAAACACAAGAAATATTCACAAGGCTACTCAGGGATTTAAAGAATTTAATACCACAAGTAGCCCCGACACGAATTCTCACTGATTTCGAGGTGACAGCAATGAACCCCTTCCTTTAGAAGGTTAAAAATAAGTTATTTAAGGTATTACATTTTCGGTATTGCATATTAAAAAATAAAAATGTTTTCAAATGAATGTGATGAATTTGCAAAGTGATGAATTTGGGTGTGACGAAATGTTGAAGTGATGAACTGTCGCCGGGATGAATTGTCCGTGATGAGATATCGCGCGATGAAATGTCGTGTGATGGACTGTCATAGAACCAAGAATTATATTCTACTGGTGTACTATAATATAATTAACAAACCAAAACAAAACCAACTTAAATATTTTCGAAAAGATCTATGAAAAATATCTCATTTAGGGTTAAATGTGTCTTACCAAATAATTGCCGTTGTTTATATGTGATGACGTATAACTGTACGATAATTGAATCTGGTATGTACCGAGTGTTAAGTCATGAATTTCATCTTCCGATAAAATTGGAAAGTCTTGAAGGTCAATAAATCCATCTACCAACGGCCAATCAATTTTACCTTGAGCGTTTTCAACTGGTCATACTCAGTTCACACTCGTGAAGTGTAAGTATTTGTTGCTCAGCACTGGTTCAATTTAGTGACGTCATACAAACTTATTTCAACCGAACACGCAGTTGATCACTATTTGACAGCTATCATTTGAGTGATAAGTAGAAGTATATTATATGTAATATATTAGATCTTCACTGTCATCAAAAGTATCCATTCCTTTACTAAACAAAGAAGATGGAAGTCCCTGCCAAAATAATTTCGAAACGGCTGATCTTTCAGCTAATACCTTTACAAAAATTTTCACCAATGAACCTACCCAGGATCAGTTACCAGATATCTCACTCGAAAGAATCCCTTCTTCCTTAGAACGGCTCAATTTTACTCCTGAAATTGTCAAACGTCACTTTTTAAAATTAAAAAACAACTCCTCTCCGGGTTTAGATCAAATATCTTCTCTATTTTAAAAAAAAATGCTCTAATACCATATCTATTATAATGTCTGGAAAACAGCTTCTGTAACACCCATTTTCAAGAAAGGAAACAAACTAGACTCTAATACCTACCGCCCAATCAGCCTCACGCCCATAATCTGTAAAGTTATGGAATCCATAACAACAGAGCACGTTTCTCGGTTTCTCTTAGTGGAAGAAATCATTCCCAAACAGCGACATGGATTTGTAAAAGGGCGATCAACCATGATCAATTTGCTTTGGTGTGTAAATGAGTGGACAGTTTCATTAGACAGGAAAAAACCTATACACATTATTTACCTGGATTTTGCGAAAGCTTTTGATCGTGTGCCGAAACGAAGATTACTACATAAGTTAGAATACCTTGGTATACGTTGTGATTTACTTAAATGGATCGAGTCATTCTTAACTGATAGAAAGTACTGTATTCAAGTTAGAAATTCGCATTCACTTGAAAGACCAGTCTTAAGTGGGGTTCCTTAGGGATCAGTTCTGGGTCCTCTCTTATTTATAATATATGTCAGTGACCTTCAATTCCATATCAAATGCAACAATATTTTTTACGCAGATAACACCAAAATATTTAGTGACCCGTCTTTGAACTTCTTTCTCGACAGAATTGAATATGGGCACTGTGGTAACAAAATCAAGTCCTTTCTTCATTCTTCACATTTTTCGTTACTTCTTTTCTTGGCTCTTTTTTTGGCATTAAAAATGCAAACTTGCACTTCATTATATTAATAAAATTATGTATAGCGGACGAAACGATAACTCATTAAGTAGGGTTTTACTTTATCGGACGAATCGAGCATAAAAATTGTCAAGAGGTATAATTTTATTAGCGGACGAAACGGGAACGGACGAAACGAGCAAACACCAATTTTTTAAACCTTAACCCTATGATAAAAAATGATTATTAACTAAAATAATACTAATGCAAACAAAATTTTTAGTTTGGAATTAAAAACGACACATAAACGTTTGTGAAAATACTGAAAGTTTTTGTTAATTAATTTTTAAAGTGTAATTATGAAATTGTGCCTTTAAAAGGACTCTTTTTAAAATTCAGATTTGAATACTTATTATGCTTATGTTTCTTATTTAGAAATATTCTTTTGGGACCAATGATTCCTCGATCCTATTTTAAACATTTTTAATAGTCAAAAGCTCATCAAGAGATGTAGTTCGTAAAATATTTTAGGAAATTATTTAGTCCGTAAATAACTACTTATACTTAGATGATAATATAATATTTATAAATTAGTAAAATTTGTAAAAAGGTATTTCGTGTTTATTGTAACATATTCTAACCTTAAAATGGGAATATAAAATTAGTCTAAATTTTCTCAGCTAAGATGTATTTTATAAATACCTACCTATAATTTTAAGAGGTAATTATAATCTAAGATTAAAAAAAAACATCGTTAAATAATTATTGTGATAAGTAGTAACATTTTATATTTAAACAAACGAGTAAAAATAGCAAAATTTCCAGTTTTGAGGTTAGTAAAAATAAAATATAACAAACTGAGAGCTGGTTACGAATTTTCATAGTTATTTCTTTCAGGAAATGTTCAAATCTTGAAATTCATGAAAGTAGATTTATACAGGGTGTCCCAATAGTGTGTGGAAGTTCGATGAAAATATCAAACAATGTTATTTACAAAAGTTGTTGATTATATTAATCTGCACATTTAAAAATTATTTTCGATTATACAGAGTGATCCATAACTTCAGAATTGATCAAGACTGTTTTTTTGTTTAAATTTACAAAATACCTAGTATAACCTCGTACATGTTGGTATTTTCTTGAAGGGCAAAGTCAGGGGAATCCAAATTTACAATTAAATACAGAGTGGTCCATTTAAAAAAACATGGGTTTGATCAATTCTGAAGTTATGGATCACGCTGTATAATCGAAAATAATTCTGAAATGTGCAGATTAATATTATCTACAACTTTTGTAAATAACATTGTTTGATATTTTCTATAATATGGATATATCAAACTTCCACACACTATTGGGACACCCTGTATGTTTAGCTTGCCTACTGAATACGTAAACCATTTGTTGAAAAAG